TTAATAAAGCAATCCAAATGTAATGAATATTTATAGGTGGTGAAACCCAAGCTGCCAAAATGATCTGATTAATACTACAGGGGGGACAGCGAAGCCTGGTAACCTTTTATGATAAATTACAGGCTGTGCGTCAGTGGTCAGGCGGCTGGCAGAGGGCGACTCTCTGTCTCTGGTCCCCTCCTTTCGAAGGACTTCATGTGAAGAATGACGGACAGAGGTGCAAGGGGAGGGGGCAGCCACCTGGACTCATCAGGGATCAGGGAGGGTGTAGGAAGAGACAGAAGTGGGGTCCACTCCGCTGTGGACTGCTGTCAGCTGGAGAGTTAGGCAGTTAGGAGAGCTCTACCTGGGATGAAATACAGCCACTGTGAAGAAATCTGCAGTTCGATGGCTTCAGCCTCAACGGTACAGAATTCCAGAAGGGCACCTCCTCTGCCTCCTGCCTGTCTTCTAGAGAACAGAGCCCGCATCACACCCAGCACTGACACCTTGAAAATAGATGGTCTTCGGGTGATATGCATGTTTTAACCCCCGTGAACATTAATGGGAGTTTTGTGTACGTATTGATTGCCAAAGAATCCTAAAGTTTAAAGCATTAATCCTGAATTCCAAGATGTTTGTCAATTCCTCCTAGACCTTTAGTCCTCATCAGCACTTGGTATTTTGAACTCCTTTTACTCTGCATATTTTAAAAGAGGAAATTTAGGGGCTGATCTGATCTGATCTACGTCTCCAAGCCCAGGCCCTTAACGGGTACGTCGATACGCATCCATATTTAGGCCGAGATGAATGGGCATGGCACGCACGTGCATCGACAGCGGGGCCAGGCATCCGTCACGGAGACGGTGGGAGCAGACGCGTCAGGTCCCCGGCCCCCACCCGATACGGCTAGAGATGCTCCCAATATATCAATAATGATCTGCGTCCAAACACTTCTCAGGGAGATCACACGAGCCGGGGGAGAGAGAGATTTTCCCAAGCCCATATTCTCTTCCCCTTGCCTCTGCTTTGCAGACCCCCAGATGTGACCTGCCCAGGTCCCATCCTGAAATACGGAAGCTCATGTCTCTAGAGGTCACTGGCCACAGCAGCTTCCAAGCCAAGAGTGAAGTGAGGTTGGGGGATCAGCACGGGACAGAGCTGACCTCAAGAGCTCTGGTTTTGGGGTGCAGTGAGCAGCTTTCTCGGCCCATTTCCTGGCCAGGCTCTCTTACATTTCCTGGCAGACCAGGGGCTGTCTGCCCGTCCAGACCCCCCTCGGCACGCTCTGCAGCTCTCATCAGCCCGACTCTTCTCCTGGGCTTGTGCCTTCTGAGTCCTTCCCCACGGGGACCCCTCCCTCTGCCATCCACCTCCCGCTTGGGGTCCACACAGAGCGTCCTGTCTTGTTTCTGCACTGAAGCTCCTCCACCTTCTACCCAGATGGGCCGTGGAGAGCTGGGGATCCTCTGGGAAGTTCAGTTTCTCACCTCCCAAATGCCAAGAGAGAACAGAGTGCCCTCTTAGGGTGGGATGATCTGAGAGAATAGCATTGAAACATACATCCCCATATGTAAACAGAGAGTCATTGGGACTTCTCCCTCCTGCGTCTCTAACATCCCTACTAGACTCTTCCTTCCACAAGTCTTCAAAATCCCCCAACCAAAAGTTCCCCTGGACCCCACACCCCCTCCAGGTGCCTCCCGATCATGCCCTTCACCTTAAAACCAAACTCCTCCCCAAGTCGCCCTCCTGTGTACTGTCTACGTCTCCAGCCTCCCATGCCCTCTGCCTGGTTCTCCCACCACCTCTCTGAGTGAAGTCTGATGACCCCCACTTCTAAGTCAAATGCGCTCTGCAAAGCCTCCTCCTCTGAGACCCCTTGGCTGCATCCAGCTCCCAAGCTCCCCTCCCCTTCCTCTCCTTCCTTCCTCCTGTGACTCCACACTTTTTGATCTTCTGCCTACGTCCCTGGCTTCTCACCCAGCTCGGTCTCTCCTCTTTCTCCCTTAAACAGCCAAATCTCTCAAGACCCACTCCACTCTACCCTTGTTCTCTCTCCCTACACGACCTTGCCCCTGCCTTTGGCTTCAGGTTCCAACTCTGCTACTGGCGTTGGCTAATGAGAACCTGGCTCGTGAGAGCAAGACTTTTTCCTGATGCATAAAGCGTCAGCCAGATCTGGCTTCCCCCAGCCCCGTTGGGGAATTAGATTGTTGCCCTCCCCTGAAAACCTTCAAGAAATCCCTTCACGGAGGTAAACATTCTTATCTTCCATTGGTGGTCTCTCCATCTTTGTCTTTGCCCATTGGGGTTAGAGCATCTTCACTTTGGCAGCTAATGAAGGGTCCATAGTAGATGCTCAATTAATGTTTATGGACTCAAGAGAGGGTCTTGATGATAAAGTGCTTGCTGCATAATTAGAAAACATAAGGACTTAGACACCCAAACTTAAAAGAACTTCCAAAGGAAGATTTCTGTAATCTCATTAAAGATCTGTGTCTCATTAAAATCTTAAGACATATTCGTGATATAAACAGCAATTCTGACAACATTTAAGACCACAGGAGCCAAGGATGGAGGATGCTTCTGTTTCTGGAGTCCTGGCTCTGCAGTCTCCCAGCCGTGCGACTCTGGCAGAGTGTCCGAGTGTGTCTGAGCTTCAGGCTCCTGGGCTAGTGGATGGGGGCAAAAATAACTCCCCCTTGAGGTTTCTATGAAAGACAAACCACATAACTCATGTCAAGGGCTCAGGGCAGCGTGGGGCACATAGTAAGCAAGGAAAACATGAGTGCAGACGCATTCTCCGGGAAAACTAAAATAAAGAAAACAGTAGGAAAGCTGAAAGGGGGAAAAACTCCACAAAGCCTCTGCCATACAGCCAGACAAGGACAGAAGCAGCTTCATAAAATATAGGAAACGCCGAGAGGCTTTTCCAGTTCCCACCAAGTAGCCGTGGCTCACCCCGCCTTCACGCTGACCCAACAATAAAACCAGGAGACAGACGAACGCTGTTACAACCTCGTCATCCTATATCAGGCTTCCATTATATGTAGTGTTCCAGGGGACACGCGGCTTAACCTGTGGTAAATTTAAATCTGTTTAATAACTTGTGTTACAACAAGCTCCTACCATAAATACGCATTCTCCGGAGAGGAGGCAGCCTGGTGTACCATCACTGTGTCATTCATACTGATAACCCACAACACGGATGGGATGAACCGGATCAGCGGAGTGTTTGTCAAATGTGTGTGTCTTCATTCCAGGCAGCTGGACACCAACCAGGACGATGTCAAGGCCTCATCCCTCTGACAGTGGGCAAATTCCCACTGATCCAGGCTACAGGCAGGCCTCCCACCCTCAAACCCTTCCCCTCCAAGCAGAGAAAACCGCTGTCTCCAAACCACCTGAGCTGTGGCCTGCCTAACCCTAGGGTGGCCCTCAAGGGGAGCCATCTCACCCGCCCCTCCTCTCAGGTCAGCAGGACGACAGAATCAGGACACGAAAGTGAGGCCCTCAGAGTCCGCCCAGGCCTGGGGACCCCTGCGGCACCCATAAATTTAGATATAAATCTCCCAGAACTCATGACAGACGAGCCCCTGCCACAGCTATGCAATTACTGTGGGTGGCAGACCTTCCAAAGAGGTTCCTTTGAATTACAGGGATCTTACTAGAAGCTTCTGACCTCTTGAATTTGCAAGACAGAAAGCTCTTGAAAATTCAATACTCTTATTAATGCTAGCTCTGCAAAAAGAAAAATAAAAAGCAATTACATGCAGACAGACAGACAGACGTGTATATAAATGTCTGTGTCCAAGGATGTGACATCCATCTTACCAGCAGAGTGCTTGTCCTCCCAGGACCGGCGGAGAGCACAGACGGAACCGCCCTGCTGGTCCTGCTCGCAGGCTCTGCAGAGAAGGTTCTAGCGTTCCTCCATCCCAGAGGAGGACAGGATGAAAGCAAGAAGCAGGCAAAGAGAACTCAAATGTCCTTCTCTGTGTGTACATCCAGCCTGTACACACAGGGGTTGTAAGCGCACACAGAGTCTGTGTACCAGTCTGGGATGCCATCCAACCGTCTCATCCTCCTCGCTGGCTTCTCCGTGCGCCCTAGATCTTTCCCAGGCTGGGTAGCGGAGGGCTTGGAAACGGCTGGGACTGAAAACAAGGGGTGTGGCCAAAGAAGGGGTGGAGCTCATGACAGGCGCTTCACACAAGGGCGCGTCAGGGAAAAAAAGACCAGGTTAACGTAGGGAGGAGGCTTCCCCTGGCGACTGTGATGAAGCATCTGCCTTCAATGCAGGAATTCATCTACGGTACAGGCGACACAGGTTCAGTCCCTGGGTTGGGAAGATCCCCTGGAGGAAGGCATGGCAAGCCACTCCAGGACTCTTGCCTGGAGAATCCCATGGACAGAGGAGCCTGGCGGGCTATGGTCCATGGGGTCACAGAAGAGTGGGACAGGACTTAGCAGCTAAATCACCACCACTGCAGCGTAGGGAGGGGCGGCAAGGCCCAGGAAGTAGTCTACCGGGGGGGGGGGGGGGGTCTCATTTTTTAATTAAAAAAAAATTAATGAGAAAATTTTAAAGCCCTGGAAAGATCACTAAGCCACCTGGTGCCACCACATCATTTACCTCCAGTTTCTTTTTCTGGATAAGTCCCACCTGCAGACGCATTCCGAACTCCAGGTGTGGAGGGCCCCTGCCTCCTGCCCCGCGCGGTCCGCTGGGAGAGCTCGGCATCCAAGAACTCGGGTCTTGCCTCCCCCCTCTGCGTCGCATCCATTTATGTTATGTAAGCCGTGCGGGTTCAAGGGTGTCTCTCTTGCACGGCTTACTAGGGACTGCATTTTCTCTGGGGTGCGCAGTGAGCTCTACATCAAAGCCTGATTGAGCAGAAAATATGTGCTAATGTTCACAGCAGTACTCTATTATAGCATAAGTGTGCTTGTAAATATTCACTACATGTTATTACGCCATTTGAACCAAGAATATTGGGAGGTGAAAGGTCGGCCCAATGCTCTCTCCGGAGGCAGCAGTTTTGAATATAACCAAATGGGATAATGGTCAGAAATACCCAGAGGGGGCAATGTACCGCGTCGTAAAGAATTGTGCTGTGAGTTTTAAGTTTTCAGGACAACAAAGATGCCAACGAGATGGCTCATAAGCAGTCATTATTAATGGAATGACAAGGCTAATGTTACGCAGAACGTCTTCGAGACAATAAATCTTGTCCCTGTGCATTAGTACTCCTTACAACTGCAAATAGCAGTTAGGTTATAACCTAACATGGCAGAATTTTATCCTCTCAATCTCTAATGTATTTTATAATGCTGTTAAAGTCAGGAATCACAACTGTTTAAGCTCACTTAATCTAGGAGAAGTTTAAACACGAATTTTAAATGCAAAAAACCGCTTTGATATTAGTTTTTCTTAATTAAATAGGAGATCTTTATAAGAAGTAGATCTTTTTAAACATGCATCAGTCTGCAGCAGATAAGCATTGTTGAATTTTAAATGCCACACTTTTTTTAAGCTCAACTTTGCCTGTTGTGGTAAGGTTTTTATTCATGGGTGGTTGGGTTTTTTGTTTGTTTGTTTGGGGTTTTTTTATTTTTTTTTTTTTTTAAGAAAAGGATTATCTTCATGGGAGAATCAGGTTTTAAGTGTATTTGTTAAACTAGCTTTGCATTCAAGCTCCTCTTGGCTACTTGACCAAGCTTTTAAACATATATTGTGTGTGTATATATGTAATCTAGAAAAAATGCTACTGCTGAACCTGTCTGCAGGGAAGGAATGGAGACGCAGATGTAGGGAATGGACTTGTGGACACAGTGGGGAGGGAGAGAGTGGCATCCGCATAAACACACTCTCAAGTGTAAGCTGGCCAGCTGCTGGGACGCTGCGGAGTGCTCGGGGAACCAGTCTGGGGCTCTGTGATGACCTGAAGGGATGGGGGAGGGGGACGCGGGGGAGGGGGAGGGAGGGGGGAGGGGGGAGGGGAGGGGGGGGAGGGGAGGGGGGAGGGGAGGGGGGAGGGAGGGAGGGGGGAGGGGAGGGGGGAGGGGGGGAGGGGGGAGGGAGGGAGGGGGTGTGTATGTAACTGTGGCTGGTTCGCTTTCTTGTACGGCAGAAACCAACACAACATTTTTTTAAAAAATAAAAGTTTTCTTAAAGATAGAAACATTAAAAAGTAAAATAAATTTGTGTACATGGTTTCCTTTTGAACTGGTGTGAGCGCACCTTCCTTTAAATAAAGCAGAACATGGACTTGGAAGAAAAGATGAACACCGTGTCCCCTTCTGTTGCCGTCAGGGACGGCGGGGGACACCGCGAACAGGAGTCTGTGCAGCGGGCAGCGCCGGTGGGGCGGGCCGCGGATGCGGCAGCCCTGGAGGACCGTGCACAGCGGCCCGGAGCGGCCGGAGGCGTGCCGCGCGGACCTGGCTCCCGAGGCGGCCCGCGATGCCCCGCTTCACAGGACGCGGCTGGGCCTTCAGACCCCACGGCCTCCGACCCACAGGTCTAGTCACAGGACCCTAGGGACACCGGTCACTCCAGGAGGCAGGCTTCACCCGTGCTCCTCTGGCGACTCGTGGAATTTCTGGCTTGATCTCCAGGAGGGCCCTGAGCCAGCAGAAGAGCTCCCCAGGACCTCCCCTCCTAGGAAAGCGGCTCGGCTCCCTTGGAGTGAGGTCCTACCGCAGACCCCAGCCCCGCCAGGCAGCCAAGATGGGCCCCGACAGGCTTCCACAGCAGCTCCTTGTGGGGAAATTGTGGGTCACCGCCCAGCTTCAGGGTAGAAACACAGTATCCAGTTAATATGAAGCTTCCTCCTAGCTGAGTGTGGGTGTGTGTGTGTGTGTGTGTGTGTGCGCGCGCGCGCTCAGCCCTTCAGTCCTGTCCTACCCTCTGTGACCCTCTGTGACCCCTACCCTCTGTGGCGGACTGTAGCCCGCCAGGCTCCTCTGCCCACGGGATTCTCCAGGCAAGAGTACTGGAGTGGGCTACCCTGCCCCCTGCCAGGGGATCTTCCCCACCCAGGGATCAGACCTGCATCTCTTGCGTTAGCAGGCCAGCTCTTTACCAGCCTGTGCCAGCTGGGAAGCCCTTTCATAGTTTATGCACAAGCTGTCACATACTTCATTCTTTCAGTCTCTTAGAGTCATGCAGGAGAGCCCCGTAATCCCGATGAGGAACCGAGGCAGGCAGTGACTGGGAGAAGGTCCCCTGAGGCAGCAGGTGGGGCCAGGCTCAGATTCTGGTCCTCTGAGTGTCCTCGCGCCTCTGGACCCAACTGTTGCCCAGCGTGTGCCATGAGATGTCACCGATCTCTAAGCTGTAAAGTCCCTTTTAGACACACGCAGCTGCATCGTATTATCAGTGTTAACCAAATGACGCTTTCAGTCCGTTTCAGGCTGGACCTTCGGGGGTGAAGGCGTCGCTCGGCACTCAGATCTTTCCCAGAAGGGGCTGTTTTCCGGTCATCTCAGAGCCGCTGCTGAGCTGACTGACTGCAGGCCCTCCGCTCTCAGAGATTCCAGCTCTGTCCTGGGAGGTGGATGTCCCAGCGGGGCTGTGGGTCCCTCTGCCCTGGTCTTGGCTCCCCAGGCAGTGGCACCTGGGCCCTGAGAAACTGCCAGGCAGACTCTCTCTGCCCAGGCGTGGGGGCACCGTGGTCCACCCCTGTAGGTGGGTGGGTGGGTGAAAGTCACTCAGTCGTGTCTGACTCTTTGCGACCCCATGGACTACACAGTCCCTGGAATTCTCCAGGCCAGAACACTGGAGGGGGTAGCCTCTCCCTTCTCCAGGACCCCTGTGGGCTGTGCTTTAATTGGACATGTATGTTTGGATTGAAGAGTCACCTGTTACATATGTGTTCAGGGCAGCTCCCCTTGAGGTGTGATGCGGACACGAGTGGTGTCGTGTGGTTACCTTAAGAGGGATGGAAGTTTCTTGTTTAATTCACAGAAGGATTCCTCAGCTGGACGGGAGAGACTTCTAAAAGCCAGGCTCCCGAGGATCTTTAAAACACCCAACATCTTCTTTGCACAGGTTTCTATTCCCTTGGTTCCTGTCCTTCTAAACTTTACGTTCGATTGAAGGAAAGAAATTAGAAAGGCCACATTGTCCCCTAGGTCATTTAAGAATTACTGTGAGCTTGAAAGCTGACTTGGAAATCAATGCCATTAGAAAAAGATGTGCAGAAATATAATTAAGGGTTCATACCTCTATATAATAAGAAGCTCATATAAATGGGTAAGAAACACATAAATGTCCCAACAGATTAATAGGAAAAGGGCAGAAACAAGCAATTCCAAGAGAAGAGAATACAAATTTTAATTTGGAGAGGAAGATTTAACTACATGATAAAAGAAAAAATGAATATTAAACATGACATGATTCTTCTCCCATCCAACTAACAGAATTTTTCATTGTAGTAGCCAATGCAGAGATGGAACATGAGTGAAATGGGAAACGTCACATATTGTTGGACACAGCACTTCTGTAAAACAATTTGGCGAGAAGTAATGTGAACCTTAAAATACTCATATCCTTGGACCTCATAACTTTGTTCTGGGAATGTAACCAAAGAAAGCCATCTAAAAAGCTTTATAAAGATGTTCACAGAAGTGTTGTTTATAATAATGAAACATGCAAGTGTTTATAAAAATGAAACAATGAAAATTTTAAATAACATTAAAAATAATAAATGTCACAAAAATAGATGACTAAGTGGGAACCAAATTACTGTTCTTACATTTGATGGGATATTATTTAACCATTAAGAACTGTATATACAAAGACAGTATTGACATATTTAGACCTCCCATCTAAGGAAAAATAAAACAAATTGAAGTTTTATCTTCTGATTGATTACTACTAAAACACAAACCTACAGGGAAAAATAAGTCTCTGAGAAAATGTACTGATAGAGTAATCACATTTAGGAACAATGGATTATTTCAGTGTCATTTTATTTTTTCAGGTCTCACAATATTCTTCATGACCAAGTATTACATTTAAAGTCAACATAAAAACATCTTTGAATTGTTGTTTCTCCATTAAAAAAAAAAAAAGCTGGAGAGAGAGCACCATAGGGCCTTACAGATTAGCCCCTCACTTTTTGTTGTTCAGTCGCTCAGTCGTGTCCGACTCTTTGCGACCCCATGGACTGCAGCATGCCAGGCTTCCCTGTCCATCACCACCTCCTGCGGTTTGCTCAAATGCATGTCCACTGAGTCAGTAATGCCATCCAACCATCTCATCCTCTGTCGCCTTCTTATCCTTTTGTGTTCATTCTTTCTCAGCATCAGGGTCTTTTCCAATGAGTCAACTCTTCGCATCAGATGGCCTAAGTATAAGAACTTCAGATGCAGCATCAGTCCTTCCAATGAAAATTCAGGGTTGATTTCCCTTTGGATTGACTGGTTTGATCTCCCTGCAGTCCAGGGGGTCTGCAGGCTCCGTACAGCACCTGTTGGAAACAAACAGCTGTGTAGAGTTTGTCATCAATATTTGATCACTGCATCAACTCCCATTAGTTAATTAATTCTAGAAGGCCATTATTTTCTAACTAGGAGCGTGTCCTGGGGAAAATCACTTCTCACTTCTACCCAACAAACATGCTTTGAGAGTCTGGCTGGAAAAATAATAGACAAGAAATGATTCTGGTGCCATATAATAAATGTGATGCCCCCCACATGTGGTAGTCCCCGAGAATAATGTTCAAAAAGCAAAGTAACTTATTGCTTAAAAAGTAATCACTGAAAAAAAAAAAGTAATCTCTGGCCACCTAACAAGTGTTAATAGATTAATTTGGTGAAATAACTTCTTCTGCTGTCCATCTATGAGATCTTATTGGCAGATCCACCTGCAAAATTAGCACACCTTCGGAATGGCCCCAAATAAAGTTCTTTTGACCTAGGCAGGTACCAATCAGCATCGCAGTCAAGGCCTTGGGGGTCACTTGAGCTGAGAACACCTCCATGGTTGGGCCACACCAGCCACGCCTGTGGGAGCTGACACCTTTATTTTGGAGTGCTTTTGTCTTTTTCTGTGCCATCCTCTGGGAGATTGTATGGAGACAAAGGTAAGATTCTGAGACAGGAAGTCTGAAGTCCAGAGCCTCTGTCCTCCCACCGACTGTGCAGCTGGTCCTGGAGAAGCATCTTGGTCGTCCCCTGCCTCAGTTTACCCATCTGTAACAAAACGGCAGACCCCTGGGCACACATTCTTTAATTCTTCACTCCTGTGGCTTTGTTTTAAAGCTTAACACGATGAGAATAATTCCACTGGATCCTATCAACTCAAACCAAATCACTTGCTGGTATAAAGACAAATTGGAAATACTAATGCTTAGTGAGTACATTACTCGGTACTTCTTTTACTTAGTGAAACATTTAATTAGTATTTACTAGAAAATTACTATCAATTACTAAAAATGACTACAAATTACTAGCAAAATGGATAAATTTTCTCTCTACCACTAAAATAAATTCAATTACTAACTTTAAGTAATTGCGGGTAATTTATTTCTTAGAGGGCAGAGAGCTACAGACAAAGTGGAGGGAGATGATTAAGATGTTCAGAGTGGCTGATTTATGAGGGAGACTTAAATAGCTAAATCTGGGTGCCTGAGCCAGGCAAGCAGAAATGCACAAGGCAAAACATCCGCAAATAGCTTAACCAACCTGCAGATTCTCCCTGTGTCTTAGTGAGAACATGGGAGGGCAGCCGTGGTGCAGAGGGGATCAGTCTAATCGGAGGCTTGCTTCCAAAAATCTTAGGGGCTTTCTCAATGGTGAAATCTAAGACCCTGCCACGGCCTCCCAAAGGAAGCTGTTCACACCCAGACCTCAGGACAAAGGGGGAGAGAGCGTTTTGCGAGATGATTCCGGAGGCTTTGGAAGGGAAAGGGAAGGGTTAGAAGCCATGTTTTAAATGCTTCATCCCCCTCTTCAGCAGGAGGAAAAGTTTCTATCCCCATGACATGTTACTGCTGCACGCGTGTTTGGGGGTGACGTGGGCCCTGGGGACATCAGGGTGGTCCTCTCTCAGGCAAGCATCTCCTGGCCGCTCCAGGTACGCCCCACACCACCTCCACGCCAAGGAACGGTCTGGCCTAGAGCCCCAGGATGCCTGGTTTCACTTCGGAAAGCAGTTAAGAGCTACACCAATGACCACGGAATGATTCCCACCTCGGGTGCAGAGAGTAAAGGACAAAGGTGGCTCAGACTTCCCCATTCCAGATGGAGAGCAGCATCATGCTGCATTTGGCGTCAAACACCATGGGTTGGGTGCAAATCCTGTTAATATATCCGCAGAATGGTGTGACCTAAAAGCTTACCAAGTGTTAGGGTCAGTCACCTCATCTTAAAATAAACACTGAAATAGCTACTCCAGATACACAGATGATGGTGCATCCAGAGGAAGGAATATTATCCAACGATTAAAAGAACTGAGCCGTCAAGCTACAAAAAGACATGGAGGAAGCTTAAACACATAATGCTTAGTAAAAGAAGCCACTTGCAAAGTCTGCATACTGCATGATTCCAACTCTGACATTCTGGGAAAGGCAAAGCAGTAGAGACAGTAAAAGACCTGGAGTTGGCAGGGGAGAGGGGCTGAGCAGAGCACAGAGGGTCCTGAGGGCAGTGAGACTCGCCTGTGTGACTGTGACACAGGAAGTCACACATTTGGCAAAACTTACGGTTAGATAGCATCGCCGACTCAATCGACGTGAATTTGAGCAGATGCCAGGGGATAGTGGGAGACAGAAGAGCCTGGCGTGCTGCAGTCCATGGGGTCACAAAGAGTCAGACACCACTGAGCCACTGAAAGGCAACAACAAATAGAAGGTACAGCCCGAGAGGAAACCCTCAGCTAAACTACGCGTGATGCTAAGTTGCTCAGTCGTGTCTGACTCTTTGCGGCCCCGTGGACTGCAGCCCGCCAGGCTCCTCCGTCCGTGGGATTCTCAGGGCAAGAATACTGGAGTGGGTTGCCATGTCCTCCTCCAGGGGACCTTCCCGACCGAGGGATCAAACCCGAGTTTCCTGCAGTGGGGGCGAGTTCTTTATCCCACGATCGCCACCTGGGAAGCCCAAGCTAAAGTATGGATGATAGTTGATAATAATAATATATCAATATTGGGTCCTCAACTCTAAGGAATGAACTTTCCAAGGTCAAGATGGTTAATAAGAGGCGGGGCTGGGGGGCGAGGGAAAGCGAGGGAATGGGGGATACCTCTCTGCACTTTCCACCCAGACGTCTGTCAACCTGAAATTGCCTAAAAATAAAATCTCAGAAAGGAACAGCTACTCTGCATGATTGCAGTGTGGACGGGCTGAGGCAGAGCCCTGGGCCTGGGGGGGTCTGCGGTGCTGGCGGTGGGGAGAGGGGGCAGGCGGGAGCTGGAAGGGCCGAGCCTGCCTCGGGCTTCGCTCTGACCTCTGGTCCATCCTGTCCGCCCTGGAGTACAGCCTGGGCTTGGCGGGTCAGCCGGATGGGCGTGGCCCTGGACCGGCGGCCAGGATTGTCAAATGCAGGCAGCACGTGTGGTGCATGGTGGCCCTGAGCGGCAAGCGGCCAGAGGTGAGTCGGGGTCCTGGGGCTCGTGACCACGTCACCAGGGCCCAGGGCCCCTGGAAACAGGTCCATCTCCTCTCCAGCATCCAGAGGCTTCTCCTCCCTCTCCACACGCGGCCCATTTTTCTCCGGGCGCGCTCATGCTGGGACACTGAGTCTGTGCGCCGCCCTCCTAACAGGTCCTGCTCCTGCTCACACGGCTGGGCCGTTCAATCATCATGTCACCGCCTCCCGGAGGAGGACCGGCAGCCCGGACCCCAGGAGCGCTCCAGGGTCTTCGAAGCATTAAAACTAAACCTAGGAAGAATCGCGTCCCTTCCGCAGTGTTGGTGGCCGCCAGCACAGTAATTTATTCCTGTGAGCCACATTTCCCGCCCCGAGCCAGGCGTCCAGGACAGGAGAGCAGGGCCCTAGCGGTGTCCAGCGTGCGATGCTGTCTGCCTGGACCAGGGGCGCCAGCATGCAGGCCATAAAGGGACGCAATGGGGAGCTCAGGGGGGCATGGAGGGGTGGACAGGGGACATCACTTAACAACATGGAACAGGGCATCTGTTCATCTGTCTTAGACTCATGCCCACGACAGAGACAGGGAGAGCGAGAAAAGAGCCACCTCCCAGCTATGAGAGACCTGTCCAGACACTGCGGCCGCCCACGCCTCCATGCATGGGCTGAGTCAGGTCCCCAAGGTGAGAATTCCAGGAAGTCCAATGAAGACAGGGCAAGGCTTTGTTCTGTGTCACGTGATATCAGTGTAACATCAGTGCTTCTGAAAAAATTCTACCACCGTCGGGAAGAAGCAACCCAGACCAGCTCTGTGTAACTTGCAAAGGCATCTAATTTGGCTTAGAGTACAGCCTTCCAGCAGGCTGACTCCTACCCTCTGCCGACCGTTTAGTTTCGACTTAATGTTGCAATTACACTCTGCAAGCAAGAGGAAAGGCGCCATGCAGTCAATCTTTGCTTCTTAAGCTAACGGCATTGGCCATACAGAATTTAATACAAGCTTGTAAAGGAGCTGACTCATTTGAAAAGACCCTGATGCTGGGAAAGATTGAAGGCAGGAGGAGAAGGGGACGACAGAGGATGAGATGGTTGGATGGCATCACCGACTCAGTGGACGTGGGTTTGGGTGAACTCTGGGAGTTGGTGATGGACAGGGAGGCCTGGCGTGCTGCAGTCCATGGCGTCGCAAAGAGTTGGACACGACTGAGCGACTGAACTCAACTGAATAAAGGAGAGGAGGAAGAGGGGAGTACACCGTAGGCTGGACCGCACTGTCATGGGGATGAACGGGGGCCCTGGGGACAGGGCTCCATGTGGCTCCTTCCGGCAGCGTATGCAGGTACAGCCCCTCAGCCTGTGGGCCCCAGCCAGGACTGGGACAGGTCTGCCTCCGCCCTGGAGCTGGGGGTCCTGATGATTCCCGCGGGCTGACTCAGCCGCCGGTCCCAGCAGACGGCAGTCCCAGCAGGCGGGGCCCGCCCTCCTTGAGCAAGCAGAGCAAGGAACGGGCAGTGCCCAGCTGCTGCTGCCCCAGGGGCGGCGCCCCCTGGGTGGGCCGAGCCCCCGGAGCCCCTGAGGCTGCTCCCTCCCTGCCGAGCGGACCGTGACCCGCCCTCGGGGCTGGTCCCTCTTCCTTCTCCAGTTCCGCACACGGTAAAGGACGTGACTGTGCTCCCCCCTCCCTGTGCTGGGCAGAGAAAACTCAGGACGCCAGTCAAACCTGAACCCCAGATAAAATGGAAATGCTTTTAAACAGTATGTCCTGGTTCAGTTCAGTTCAGTTCAGTCACTCAGTCGTGTCTGACTTTTTGCGATTCCATGGACTGCAGCACGCCAGGCCTCCCTGTCCATCACCAACTCCCGGAGTTCACTCAAACTCACGCTCATTGAGTCGGTGATACCATCCAATCATCTCATCCTCTGTCGTCCACTTTTCCTCCTGCCTTCAATCTTTCCCAGCATCAGGGTCTTCTCCAGAGTCGGCTCTTCACATCAAGTGGACAAAGTATTGGAGCTTCAGCTTCAGCATCAGCCCTTCCAATGAATATTCAGGAATGATTTCCTTTAGGATGGACTAGTTGGATCTCCTTGCAGTCCAAGGGACTCTCAAGAGTCTTCTCCAACACTACAGTTCAAAAGCATCAATTCTTCCATGCTCAGCTGGTAGTGTACTTACAATTTACTTTAAGTATCTGATATATGGTTATACTAAAAAAAAAAAAAAAATCCATTTACCTGAAACTCCAGTGAATGGAGTCCTGTATTTTATTTGCTGGAGCTGACAAGTCCCTCCCAGGCCCCCTTCCTGGAGCGGAACTCCGTTTCTGGACTCCACACAGTCCTCTCACAGCAGCCGTCTGGAAACAGACCTTCTTGGATCTTCTCGTTCATTAGATTGAACCTCTTGGACGTCGACCTTGATCACCACTGAATTTGCTACAGCTGTTCTTCAAACCTGCTGAGCCCCAAGTGCAGAGCGGCCGTCAGCACATCCTTGGTCAAAGTGCCCAGCCCCTACCCCTCACTACCTACCCCGCCCCCAACATGGGCCTTCTGTGTGCCGTGAATCCTGCAGCGTGCTGAGGATGGACAGGGATGGGGTGTACAACACCGTGGCCCCCAGGGAACTCCAGACACAAGTGGGCAATTTCAGCACAAGCCCATGAGTCCTTCCCCCAAACTCTTGGCAGCTGTGTTATAGAATCAAATTGTTTTATTTTTGAAAGAGAGTATTGTGCATATGTCTTATGCTACTAATACATTACACATGTTACATATAATAAATACCCACCATGTATAACATAAATACCTTTCTCTTACTCCAGGGGACCCTAGGGCAGTATCAAACACAGAAGCAAACCCAGGGGAGGCAGTGTGTGTCTTTGGACACCCAAAGAAAGAAGACAATACCACACACACCCCCTCCACTTCACCGGAAAACTGTGAGTGAAGAAATAAAGATGTCTCAGCAAAAGTTCTTCTGCTGTGTTAAACACTCTTTGCATTCTCTGAGGGTCTCCAGAACCTCATGGTGGTTGGGATGGGTAAGGACATTCCCTCCTGGCCTCTGGCCTCAGGTGAGAGGAGTAAACTGCATTATGGATCCAAAATAAGACACTGCTTATGAGGATGGGATAAGAGCTATACTCAGGATTGTAAAAATATTGCCACTAGTTTCATATAGCTATTTTAATTTTTTAAGTTTTTTTTTTTACTGGACCATTTTTTAAAGGCTTTATTGAATTTGTTACAATACTGATTCTGTTTTATGTTTTGGTTTTTTGGTCACAAGGCATGTGGGATCTTAGTTCCCCTACCAGGGATTGAAACTATACCCCCTGTTTTGAAAGGCAAAGTGCTAACCACTGGACCACCAGGTTTCTCTGTCCATGGGATTTCCCAGGCAAGAATACTGGAGTGGTTTACCATTTCCTCCTCCGGGGGATCTTCCTGACTCAAGGATCAAACCCATGTCTCCTGCACTGACAGACACGTTCTTTACCACTGAGCCACCAGGGAAGCTGCTTCACACATTTAGTGACTCACCAATAAAACTTTATTTACAAATACTATACGGCATCACTTACACGTGGAATCTAAAAAATAAAATAAAAGAATATCTATAGAAAATATAAACAGACTCACAGACATAGAAGACAAATTTATAGTTACCAAAGGGAAAAGGGTGGGCAAAGGGATAAATTAGGAGCTGGGGATTAACATGTGAACACATAACATGTGTTAATACACTATACGTAGGGTAGATAGCCAACACAGATCTGCTTTATGGCATGAGGAACTACATTTAATATTGTGTAATAACCCATATCACTGGAAAAGACCCTGATGCTGGGAAAGATTGAAGGCAGGAGGAGAAGGGGGCAACAGAGGACGAGATGGTTAGTTAGCATCACTGGCTCAATGGGCGTGAGTCTGAGCTCCCGAAGATGGTGAAGGAAAGGTAAGCCTGACGTGCTGCGGTCCATGGGGTCACAAAGAGTTGGACACAACTTAGCGACTGAACAACAACAAATAACATACAATGGGGAAAATACATAGATGTATGTATCTAACTGACCCACGGTGCTTTCACCTGAAAGTGAAAGTTTTATCTCCTCTGTCCATGAAATTCTCCAGTCAAGAATACTGGAGTGGTGCCATTCCCTTCTCCAGGGGATCTTCCTCACCCAGGAATCTAACCCGGGTCTCCCACATTGCGGGCAGGTTCTTTACCATCTGAGCCACAGGGAAGCACGTACACCTGGAGCTAACACAAATATTGTAAATCAACTATAAGCCAATAAAAAAATAACAAAATAAAAACTTTATTTACAAACATGCAGCTGGCTGGATTTGCCCTGCGGGCTGCAGTGTGAGGACCCAGGTCTGTGCAGTTCCTTCACCCATTCTCTGTGGGGCAGTCACCCTGTGCCCTCCCCTGCCCGCCAGCCCTCCACTCCCGCACTGCCCGCGAGCTCAGACTTGTAGTTGCCAAGTTAAACATCAGTACCACGTTGGGTGGCCTTTTGCACAGATATCTTTTCCTAAAACCTGGGACCATGCTCTGTTTCAAGTTGCTTTGATTTCAGGAAAGTAAATACTTACTGTAGACATAAAATATTTATTGGGGAAAATTACATATATGTCTTAACATATGTCCTAAATTTATAGATTTACAGATCGATAGATATCCTAAAACCAGATGTAATATGCCACTATTAATGTTTTGATGTCTTTTTTCCAGACTTTTTTCTATCTATCTTGTATCTATTTCTATCTTCTATTTATATCTATATATCTGCATTTGTGTACATAATTTAGAAAATAACATATCCAGGTTTGAAGTGAAATTTTTAAATATATGAGATTTTTCTCATCCTTATAAACTATCCAAAAAAATGGCACCTTGAAGAACAACACAATAGTCTGTCTTTCTAATGCTCCAGAATTCACCTCATCAAGTCCCTTTGGGTACCTTTAATTTTTCTCTATTGGAATTAACA